GTTGCCAGATTGGGTACAGAAGGCAATAGCCTCCAGCAAATTTCAGAATGGAAGTGAAACCAAAGAACGTGGCCATTAGCACATCCATTGCACGGTATGACAAAATGCAGATGCCAATCTGGTAGATCCCAGCTGCCCACAGCCAGGGCACTTGTCCGATAAACAGTTTGCCAGTGATGCCCAGGAGCCTACAGCCAAAGACACTGGCGGACAGCATGTTCAGGATCAGACCGGTGACTGCAAAACGATTCACGCTGCCACTGGTGGATTGGATCTGTTCGTGGGTCTTTTTCTTGGCCAGATCCGTGCCAGGGAGGGCAATTTTCTCTTTGGTTAGGAAATAGAGAATCCTTCCCAGAGCAAAATAACCACCAACCAAGCAGACAACCATATAATTGCAAGCCACAGCAGAGGAACCAAAAGCTGTGCTATAATGCATGGCGACTTCATGAGCACTGGCAAGTGAGACAGCAGAAGCAATCATAGCTAGGATGACCTCTCTGCAAAGGAAGCCCACCACTGCAATAATGAGTAGTGCCAAAGTAAATGTGACCAGGCCAGGCACCAAGGCATTGCGGAAATCACCAGTGTTGTTCAAAACTCCTTGTCCTCTCAGGATGAAGACCACTCCGTAGCCACACCAGAACACTGAGATGGTCAGGCAGAGAGACAAGAACAGGGAGGCATTTCTTAGGCTTTTCCGAATTCCTGTGAAACAAATGACAATGGAGACAGAGCTATGATTTCGAGACAGTAGGTTATGGAAAGCGGTAGTTAGGACAGGCAGCTGTGCGATAGGCACGTGGCGTGTTGGAAGCATGATCAATATGCCAGCATGGAGCTGCACAGGTCCTGCATGATGGTAGACAGAGCTATCACGAGTTTGGGTAGGTCTGCACCATACCCCATTACCCTGCATAGACATGACTGTAAAGTCCCCACAGCACAACACTTCTGTGTTCATCAGAGTGCCTGAGGGGAGCTCAAAGCACCTGAGTTCCTCCAACTAAGTGCTGTATCAGTCCTGGCACGCAGTTTGCCCTCATGAAGTCGAGGTTCAGCAAGCCATTGTCTCTTCTTCCTCACGATGCCTACAAGACTCAGTAACAAGCCCATAATGTATTAATGCTAATCACGTCCTGACACCTCTTTCTTTTGTGGTGCCTGGTGGTTTGTTTTGTTCCTGCCGTAAGGTGTCAGGTCCAATGTTTGAACCACGACTGTCATACAACCTGCTCGATACCCATAAATAATTGGGCCTTCTCAGAAGACAGAAGCATAGGAATCGCTAAACTCACTCCTTCTCAAGAACTATCCTGTGCGATATCCTGATCCCCAAAATGACAAAGACCTTGATTTAAAATACTTCAAGTCGAACCGAACCCACTTACTATCCCCAAACAATATCACAAAGTATCTTATTTTTACTGCTACACTTTCTCACCTCACGATGTGAGGATCCTGATCAGCACGGATAGACCTGAAAGCTTCCTTCCAAGCTGGAACTTTGAATAGACCTATGCTTCATTTCTTCCTTGAACTGATACGGAGCACAGGGAGCTCAGAAGGGAGCACAGAAGTTCCTGCCTTTGGTAGGAGGCTGTTGATTTCCAACTGTGAAACATCACCTGCCCAGTGGTCCACTCCATGTGGTCCCATCAATACAACTGCTTCTAAGTGCTTTCGACTAATACTTTGTGCCACCAGTGACTGAGAGAAGAGGTGAACCTATGTTTTACGGTTTAAAATATGTAGTGTCTCTCCCAAGCTGTCTGCTTTGTAGAGGAAAAAATAGCAGCATCAAATCTTGGATTTTCATGTCCTCAAGACTCTGAGTTAAAAAGGAGAAATAACTCAGCATTCATTACAAAAACTTTGGACTTTGCTATAGCCAGAGATTTTTTTTCTCTCAGAAAAGCAGATCTCTTGGCATTTACACATCAACATGCCATTTCAGTCCACGGCTGCCTAAAGTACTCCCAGAAAGCCTGGGAACTGTTTTTAGAGAAATCATGTATTTGGTCTGTTAAAACTCTCAGAGACTCTGGTAAAGCATTTGTTCAAAACTAACACTGATTTCTTTGGTTGCCTATATAGGAAAAATTTGCTGTGCTGACAACACTCCTCCAGGAGAATGAATCAGTGGCCTGGCAAGGCTGCCACGGTTTGTGCAAACCTGTTGGCAAAGCAGATCAAATACATGCAAAGTTGGAGAAGGGGGAAGCCTTGAAGCTGGCCACCCTCTGAGTCTTACCTGCATAGGCCAAAAGAGACGATAAAATCAGCAGAAGGACTCCTAGAGCTGTGCTGGGGATCAGAGGGGCTGCTCTGGGTAAACTGTAGAAATGCACCGCCAGTAGGAGTGATCCTGTGTGTGACAAGGGAGGTGGAAAAAAAGAGCTTGTAAGCTTTGCCCCAAAAAACCCAGGAGAGAACCAGAGTGGCAAGAGCAGGAATAGAGAAAAAAATAACAATACAAGACTTGCAAATGATTAAAATTAAGGAGCAGAGCGGGGAGGGGGTTGTAACTTGGTTTGTGTCCACGCTCTCACCTCTTTCTGGGTGCCCAGTTTTAAGAAACTTGAACCTAATCATGTTTGAAAGTGCTCCCCATGTTGTCAGATAAAGGTAAAAATCAGCTCTCCGATTCCAATTACACATAAGGCAGGCAGACCCACGCACACTCCACAGCTGATCACATAAGCCTTGTGCCTACAGAAAACTAGCCTAAAAGTGAAAAGGGGGCAGCGCTCAGAAAGACGAAACGCAAAGGAGCAAATGAAAGGGAGTGAGCACAGAAACCAGAGCTGCGGGGAAAACGGCTAGAAAAGGAAAAGAGAGGAAAGTGCACCCAAATAAAGATCATTTATGAAAATGACTATCAAAAAGTTTTGATCCGCTTCCCACCCGGGATGGATCGAGTACAAAAATCCAGGCCAGCACTCTAAAGCCAAGACAAATATTTTGTTGGCTGCTGAAACAGGCACAGGGATCTCCGGATCTAAAAGCTTTACCCAGGCAGAGAAGATTCAGAATAAACAAACCTCTTTAGCCCCCTTTGAAAAGGGGGTTGTCCATGAAAGCTAGTCCCAACCCCATCCTCCCATGCCAAGAAGACTCGATCCCTACCTGCGGAAATGCCCAAGAGCCCTATGGAGGAATGCAGTGACTCAGTTTTTCTGTCTGCCATTGCAGAGTCCGCCGAAGACCCAGATGCGGGCTGAAATGCTGCCTCTCTTTCCTCCCTAGCTCTTTATAACCAAACCAACTCCACTGGCCCGCGTTCCTCCCTGCTCT